AGGAATAGGATCTATGATTGTTGACTCGACCAAATCAGGACTAGGCAAAAAATTTTTTTGAAAAATTAAGCTGAAATATGTTGAATAGATGCTACTGAACTGGTAGCTCGTTCTAAAATTTTTTGTGTTGGAACTTACGAGCTCTGAGAAACGAAGGACATCTGCGTTTTAAATAATATCCAACATGAAAAGGGCACGTGAATAGAGATTACAGGGAAGAATACTGGGTACAAAGTACGTTATACAATAGACAAACAAACGATTTGTCAGATATATGCATGAAGAAGGATGTATAAATACTTAGGGAGACAGATAGACAGAATATAATGTGGACCATCCTAGAGAATGCAAATTTCAATCGATAGAGTGTTTGTGTACTGGAACATATTTTATAGTCTGACTTGATTTTAAGTAGTGTATATTCTGTCTCACTTTGCGTCCACCCTCTCTTTCGATCCTATCATCCCTTTCGATTGTGTCTTTCTCTCATCCCCCTGGTCTATTTTTTATTCATGCATCTGTCAATATGCTTCGTAAACACAATGAGGTAATTAACTAAATCTTTTCTACATGTTGAAAGAGTGATAATTTATCGCACATTTTCGTCTGTTATTATCGATTCTCGTACAAAGGGAAGAATACCATCCCGGCTAAACAATAACGACAATAAAAACGATATCAGCAGCAGCAGCAGCAACAGCAACCATAACAATAACAACGAATTCAATAACACAGCAGCAGCAGAACCAAGGGCACCGACAACAATAACTTGAAAAATGACCAAAAAAATACGAGGATCAACAAAAATAAAATGACAACAATACAACGTGCATCTGCACGACAAAAGAACAATATACAGGGAGAACACATTTTACAAGCTCTCGACAAATGGTTCAAGCTAGCAAGCTTTCAGAGTTTGGACGAAACAGAACAAAAATTCTGAACGTTGACAGCAATGATGGAAGTACAATTTTTCTTGGAATGTTCTTGTTTTTCACTAGAAGCCAGAAAAACGTGTGTTTGAAAATTAAGGACAGCATGAAGACAATTTTAATAATAAGAGTACTGGAATGAGCAAGATGACAGGCACAGAGTCCAAAGACAACGAAAAAAAAAAGAGGGGGGAGGGGGCAGTAAATGACACCACCCAGATGCTAGCAATTGAAACAATTCCTCGATTGCATAATTATGTATTTACATAATAAAATATCTATATCTACATGCACTACTGATCTGTTAGTGTCGGGGTTTCCTCATGTACCCTGACAAAGCAAATCTTTATCTCCATTATCATGATATTGCTATTATCATTATCCTCTTTGTTGTCATCGCCTTAATTATTATTATTAT